TATTTAAATGAATTGAACTGTCCATTCAATTGATTTAAATGGGGAAAATAAAAAAATCATCAAAAATTAATGAAGACTCAAAACAAAACCAAATTAAGTTTGCACATGTTTCACAAGGTGCACTATGGAATCCAAGCATTTAAAACAGGTTTCAAACATTTTAAGACACTTTTAAATGAGCAAAAAGGGACATCGTTATGTTAGGCAGAAGGATAGTGCCAGCTTCAAGGCACTCAGTGAGCTTTGTAGCAATTTTTAAAACAAGGAAACTGGAAACGTTCAGTGGAATTCCAGGTAAAACAGAGACCAATTCTCAAAATATAGAAAAATGGAGTTAGTGTCCCTGGCCAGAATCCTACTGGCAGTTTATGCTGGCAAAAGACAAACATGCATCTTGGTGCCAGATTTCTGGTCGTGAATGAGGTGTTTTTATCCTCAGAGGACGGGGGCCAGGAATGCAACCAGCGGCCATTTGCGAACAAGACTGGCATGATTTTCCTTAAGATTAAGGGTGATGGTTAGGATTTCCTGTTTCCAAAACGGGGTGCCCTGAGAGGCTGTCAAAAAAGCAACACCTCTGCACCCACCCACTTCACCCGACTTCTCCACATCTTAAAAGTTTAATGTTTCACTTTTTTTTAAGTGATCACTCTTTTCTCACAGATTTTATTTTTGTTTTAAATTATACTGTATTTACCTTAATTGGCTCGTCAAAGGTTTTCAGACCAAGTACGTCCCGGTTGCTGACGGAAGTCTTTTGACTTGAAGAAAGCAAACAAACCGGAAGAATGGCTAGGAGATACTTTCCCTGATTTTGAGCAGTGGAGTGTGCTGCCATTTTTTCCCTAGAGGGAGGGCGGACACAAACAAAATTTGGCCCTCAAGCTGAATGAGATCACTGCTCCTGACACAGCTGTTCGCTGGAATTTATGAATGCAGCCCACTTCATATTTCCTCTCAATTCTCCCGATGTGTTTTTCTACAACAGCTACTTGGAGATGTGTCACAGAGCATCCTAGGAAGTTGAAAGGCTCTCTCACTGGCTTCTGTGTGTTGTTTCTGACATCATATTTGTATCCATTCATTCTCTGCCCTATGTAAAATGCAGAGGCGTTCATTTTGGGCTATTGCTGGGTTTAGTTACTGCTGTCTCAAGACTAGTTAATACAATATAGCCCAGATAACAGCCACTGCTTTCAGAGAGGAAACCAGATAAAAACACTGAACCCTATTCTTAACATTTTACCTGTTGCCATTCATTAAAACTTGGAAACTTAAGAGACCTCTACAGGTGTTGGCATGAAAAGACTACGGTACTATCTATAGGGATGTAGGATACCCAGTGTGGTGTATTGGATACAATGACGGACTAGGACTCTGCAGAACATAGTTTGAATCCCTGACTGCCATGGAAACTACTGTAATTGGGGAAGTGGAACCAGTAAAACCACTTCTAAAAAATTTTACTCACCCTGAAAGCCCTATTAGACTCCAACTTGATGGCACAGAATACACATATGAATGTAATTTAACAGACTTATCTTTGTATCTTATGAATGTATTATCTTTCTCATACTGTCACTTTCTTTTAATAACCAGAAAAATGTCATGAAAGAATAAACTATGCAAAATGGCTTGAGTCAACAGACAGAGCCTATTTTTCCGCATCCTGAAACTTGGTTAAGTAAGTTCCTTGTATCACCTGGGACTACCAAGAGCATAACAGATTATACAAAACAAGATGATATAGACAAATTTGCTTAATTCTACAAGTTACAAAGCCAGCTTTTCTTGATGCAGACTTTAGATTTCTTGTGTGTAGAAACAGACACAGGCTATAATTTAAACAACTGAATGAAGGTTGGCACACTTAAGTGAAAAATAATGACAACTTGGCAGAATCAATTCTCTCCATGCAATAGTAGCTTTCTGGTCTGCAGGATTTAATGACCACACAAACTAGCAGCGTTAACAATGAGTAAAGCGACTCTGTAGGTCCTTAAATGCCATAGGTTTTGGTAAACAACATTCTTCTCTGGTATGGAAGATGGGCAAAAAACCACGTATCAGGATTTGTTCTCCCATGGCTTTGGCTTCGGAGCCATCCGAGATGGTGTTGGTTTCTCATTTGTTGCAGTGATATTTAGCTTCTGAAGTCCAGGAATGTCCTGGCCAGTCTGGACTAGGCGAAGAATCTCAGAAAAAGGCACCTTTGTATCCAGAGGAGGGGCCCCCTCTTGAATCTC